CTAATCTTGCTCAGAGGTGGAAAACAGAGGCTTAAAGCCTTCTAAATGTATTTTCTTTGGCCTCTATGATGTTGGCATGCCCAGCATTAAGAAGTGACCTGTTGTCATTGTGTAAATATGGAGATTTCACAAAGAATTTTAGGTTTCCAGTTTATCTTTGGAAATTAGCAGATCTGACAAAAGCAGGTGCATACTCCTATAGGGCAACATTGTCTGTAGTTGCTTCACTGAGGATGTCTTTACGTGGGCCACACACATTAGTTTCTCATAGTCACTTCCACCTTTTGGAGGGAACAATTAAAAGACAAGTTAATTCTTTATTGAGTGCCTACCATGTACTAGGGCCTGTTCTAGGATGTGGTGATTTGAAGGGGACCCAAACAGACCAGATCTCTAAATTCGTGGCAGATTGTAAAGATCCATACAGGTGTCTGTCAAACATTAGGAAGATAAAGTTAGACTAACAGAGGTACATTTTTTAAGGAAAATGAGAGAAAGCATGTTTCTTTATGAAACCAAAAAAGTAAAAAAATCCCTTTGTATATAATAGGCAAAGCATGTTTTTATTAAAATTATTCTGCTTCAGTTACTTGGCTTCACTTAATAGATCAGATGCTTTTTTGCCTTTGTGATTTAGTAGACATATGAGTAAAATCATCTTAGTGTTCCAAAAAATGCCAGCAGGCAGAGTTGCCCTGGCTCCTGCATGTTAGGTTTTCTTACCACTGTCCAAACCATCCCCAGGTCAGCTTTAGATATTTCCATGTAATCAAGATCTTGGGATGCAACTGAATCTCAAATAAGTCTCTACTGACAGTCTTCTCTCTTGACAGCCTTTCCATTGTAGCCTAAACCCTGTTTAGCTGAGGCTGACGGTCTTGTTACCTTGACCCCATGTCTGAGGTGGACACAGACTGTGCTTGAGAAGTATCTTGAATGGTGCCACCTCCCTTCTGCCTTCTAACCTAGAGCTTTACCTCTCCATTTGGTACACTACACAGTGACACCTGCTGACATGTTTACACTGACAAATCCTGCTAGGCTGGGGTTTTGATCTCATGATTTAAATGATTCTCACCTGAAAATACTAGTCCTTTTATAGGCATTAGTGCCTAATCACATGGTTCCGTCAGTATCAGGCATAGTGATTCATTGCTTTTCTTTTAGATTTGTCTTGGTCATAGGCTTTGAGGGTCTAGGCTGACTCTTAACCAGTAGTGCTTGCTGGATGTTGTGGTAGGTGGCTGACCCATTTCTTCAGTGGTGGTTGGAAAGGTCATCTTGCTGCCTAGTGAGGACAACTACACTGCTCCCCTCTGGTGGCAGTTATCTCAAACTGCAGTATCATCAACTTGCTTCTGAAAGGACTCCCTTTCCTGCAGTGGTGCCAGGCATTACAGAGCTGTAAGAAATAGCTATTCCTAACTGTTGTTCTGCAGCACTATCAGATGGCTCATTATTATTAAAGGGATGGTACATATTTTTTCTCTACAGTAAGTGTAGTGAAAAGAACATTTTCTGGACAGGCAGGAGAGTGACACTGCTCCTAGTTCTGTCCATCACTTGCTATGGAACTCCAAAGTCTCACTTGGCTTCTTTGGCCATTAAGTAGCAACATGCTGGTCTTCATGCTCTCCAGAGTGAGTCTGTAAAGTCTGTAGTTCTATGAGTTAAAAAGGTTTTTTTGAAATAGCTATACAATGAATACCCACTTAGATGTTACAAAACAATGATGAACATACAGAAAAATTTGAAAATTTACATTATCATTTTCCCCAATATGTTAATTGTAAGATATATTATGGATTTAATAACTTTTTTGGAATTAATAAATAATTAATAAATAGTACTGCACTATACTTGTAATAAGACAGATTCTGTTATCCTAAAAGTTAAAGTATAAAATATACATCTTAGAATTGAGAATGTGTATGTGATAACAACTCTGATTTTCAACTAGTTATTTTATTTTATTTTATTTTATTTTTTTGCCAGGCAGAGTTAGACAATGAGAGAGAGAGAGAAAGAGAGTTATAGACAGTGAGAGAGAGACAGAGAGAAAGGTCTTCCTTCCATTGGTTCACTCCTCTAATGGCAACTACGGCCGGTGCTGCACTGATCCGAAGCCAGGAGCTGGGTACTTCCTCCCGGTCTCCTATGCGGGTGCAGGGCCCCAAGCACTTGGGCCATCCTCCACTGTCCTCCCGGGCCACAGCAGAGATCTGGACTGGAAGAGGAGCAACAGGGACTAGTACCCGGCGCTCCAACCGGGACTAGAACCCGGGGTGCTGGCGCTCAACTAGTTTTTTAAAGTAAATACCCATACTCAAAACTCTAGAATTAACATTGATAGTTGATCATTGAACAGTGTAAATAAACTTTAAAGCATTCCATGAGAATGGAAAATGTATTGAAATGCAAAGATACATAAGATGCAGTTAAAATTAAAGGTTGTATGGTAAATTTTAGTGTTTATCTGAATATGGAAGAAAAACATAGTGACAGCAAATACACAAACATGCAGCCGGTAAGTTACTACCAAAGGGCACGTTTGGAGTATTCAAGTACATTAAGAATCTTTTTTACAAAATTATGTGTGATTTTATGAAAACGTACACCATGCTTTGTGATTAATGTCCTTTTTGGCTGCAAGGAATGGAATTATGCTGAGGTTAACTTGAAAAAGAATAATTACTGTAAAGCTACAACAGGAAATGCCATGGACATCATACCAAGGGTTCCATACGGAAGAGCCACGGAACCTGGGGAATTAGAATGGCAGCGTCAAGACCCGTAACTTTACTTCTCAGAGGCCTGAGGTTTCTACACTGGCTGCTTACTGATTTTTACCAATTGTGCATGTGGCTGCTAGCCCCATACTACATCATAGCCTCAGCCTTAGTTCCCATACAGATGGCTTCCCTCTGTGTCCACCTCCATCCAGTTAGTGACCACTTCTGACAAAGAAGAGCCAGGTAACTTTTTTGCTGTCCATAGTCAATGGACAGGATTTTCAAGGAAAATGAGGAAGATATATAAAGCAGGCAGATGGACTGTGTGTCTGGTATAACTACTGCTTATTCCAAAGCCTTCAGTCATGATGGATTTGCAGAGCCTTATCCATCTCTAACCCCTTTTAACAATGGCACTGAGTACCTATACAGTCTTTTGGGCGGGTGGTTGAGGTTAAGCGTTCTAGGAATTTATGGAACACTAAAGTGTAACAAATTGAGAGCCTGTGAGAATTCCTGTTGGAGTTACATAAATTTCTGTTAATGAATTGGGAACTGTCCTTTAGAGAAAGGTTAGCACAGACATTGAAAAGTCTGTCCAGTAATTGAGTCATACTTGCCTAATGTCTGCTGGGCAGGATGGTACCTTAGTAGTGTATCTTGTATCCTCTTAATGTCTGTGAGGTATGGCTGTCAGGAGGAAGCCTCAAGGTCTTTTTTGAACTGTGGGCAAGGGGGGTGGTGAGGAAGGGTGAGAAGAGAAGGAGATTCTTGAAATTAGCTGACAACTATTGAAATTATTTATTTACGGCACAGGGAGGTTAAGCTGCCACCTGCGATTTCAGCGTCCCCTGTGAGGGCCAATTCAAGTCCTGGCTGTTCCACTTCCAGTCCAGCTCCCTACTAATGCATCTGGGAAAGCAGTAGAAGATAGCATAAGTGCTTGGGCCCCTCCCACCAGTGAGACAGATCTGGATGGAGTTCCAGGCTCCTGGCTTCTGCCTTGCCCAGCCCTGGCTGTTGCAGCCATGTGAGGAATGAACCAGTGGATGGAAGATCTCTCTTTCTCTCTCTCTCTCTGCCTTTCAAATAAATAAATCTTTTTAAAAAGGAGAAATTATTTCTTGGTATCTGTGGTGTGAGGGAAAGACTGCTGGATGTATGTTAGAAAAAGTTCTTCATTTGAATGAAATGTCTTTAAGCTTGTGTTTTTTTTTTTTTAAAGATCTATTTATTTATTTGAAAGGCAGAGTTACAGAGAGGATGAGGAGAGAGAGAGAGAGAGAGAGAATGAGAGAGAGAGAATGAGAGGGTGGGAAGGAGAGAGAAAGGTCTTCCATCCACTGGTTCACTCCCTAAATGGCCGAAGCTGGGCTGACCTGAAGCCAGGAGCCAGGAGCTTCCTCTGGGTCTCCCACATGGGTGCAGGGGCCCAAGCACTTGGTCCATCTTCTGCTGCTTTCTCAGGCCATAGCAGAGAGCTGGATTGGAAGTGGAGTGGCTGAGGCTTGAACTGCCACCCATATGGGATGCCAGCATTGCAGGCAGTGGCTTTACCTGCTATGCCACAGAGCCAGCCCCTAGTTATTGTTTTAATGGGGAAATGATGCCTGGCCTCACAGGATTGTGGGAAGAATGAAACAAGAGCATCTAAGTGTTAAAGGACGGTGGTTGGAATGCAGTCAGGTTTTTTTTCTTCTATTTTTTGAAGATTCTTTAAAAGATCATTGCTATTCTTCCTTTATCTCTAGATACCTGTTTAGGAACAATTTCTCTGACTGTTGCCACCCACTCTGTAAGTCATATCTTTGAGTTCCAAGAATCTAAGGATGCCATCTAGGCCAGGCCAGGCTGGCTGACAGTGATATAAATACCAGAACAGAGGCCAGCACTGTGGTGTAGAAGGTTAAGTCTGCCTATGGTGCTGGCATCCCATATGGGTGCCGGTTTGAGTCCCGACTGCTCCACTTCTGATCCAGCTCCCTGCTATGGCCTGGGATTGAGCCCTTATACCCACATAGGAGACCTGGAAGAAGCTCTTGGCTTTGGATTGGCACAGCTCCAGCCGTTGTGGCCATGTGGGGAATGAACCAGTAGATTGAAGACCTCTCTCTCTGTCTCTCCCTCTCTGTAATTCTTCCTCTCAAATAAATAAATAAATCTTAAAAAAAAAAAAAAGTAACAGTGACATTACAGCCTGCAGCCACCATGGCCATCTAACTGACTTTTATAATACACTTCAATAAAGCTTGTGTGTTTCTCTTACAGGTGGATTCGCTATTGTGTTCCTGGTGAGGACAAGCAATGGGATGAAGTGTGCCTTGAAACGCATGTTTGTCAACAATGAGCATGATCTGCAGGTGTGCAAAAGAGAAATCCAGATAATGGTAAGGCTGTCCTCAGACTTGGGACTCTTGTTTAATGTGGGGACAGAGACTGTAACTTCTAATAAGAAAGCCAAAGGGCAGTGGGGCTGGGCAGAGCTTGTTCCCTTGTCTGAGGTGATGGAGAGCCCTCTGGACAAGATGGGGATATAGAACTCTGCTCCTGCCTTGGTCATCCTCAGTTGGAGGGCTGAGGAGAGAAGGCACGCTGAGAGAACAAACTAAGATTTAGGTCAGAGAAATAGTTCGGAGCATGGGAATGGTTCAGATATTAACTGCTGGTGTTTAATCTGGAAACCTTCACTTTCCCATGAGCCTCCTCTTCTGGTCTTGTTTTGTGCTGATTGCTGATCCTGGATTGAGATTTCAGCCTTCTTGGCGCTTTGGCATTCTGTGAATACCTCCTTACTCAGCCTTACAGTTTTACAGGTGTCCCTTTCACGTTGAATGCTTTTCTTTTTTGTCCTAGAAATCTAAGCACTTCATGAAGATAATTTCATTTATAGATGTCCATGATTAGGCAAAATGGATCTGTGGAGAAAGAAATCAGAAACTGGTTATCTGAGTGTGAGAAATTCACTAGAAAAGGAGTATATGGGAAGTCTGTGGGACATGGAAATGTTCTGGGTATTGTTTGAGTAGCCCAAGACCATGACACAGGGGTATATTAAAGTTTTTTTCAAGATTTGTATTCATACTGTATTTAAAGAAATCGTTCCTATACTATTTATAAATGAAATAATGTATTGAGAGATGAGTAGATTTATAAGAGAAGCTAGATTGGCTGTGAGCTGATGATCAAGCAGGATCATGACTACACATGGTACTTCAGTCTGTAGAAAGCAGAATTAAGGGATTTTTTTTTTTTTTTTTTTTGACAGGCAGAGTGGACAGTGAGAGAGAGAGACAGAGAGAAAGGTCTTCCTTTGCCATTGGTTCACCCTCCAATGGCCGCTGTGGCCGGTGCACCGTGCTGATCTGATGGCAGGAGCCAGGTACTTATCCTGGTCTCCCATGGTGTGCAGGGCCCAAGTACTTGGGCCATCCTCCACTGCCTTCCCTGGCCACAGCAGAGAGCTGGCCTGGAAAAGGGGCAACCGGGACAGAATCCGGTGCCCCGACCGGGACTAGAGCCCGGTGTGCCAGCGCCACAAGGCGGAGGATTAGCCTAGTGAGCTGCGGCGCTGGCCGGGATATGTTTATTTTGGAGCAAAAAATTTGGAAGTTTTGTGGATAACTTGTTCATAACATACATTTCCATGAGCTTTTTGAAGACTCCATAATGGAGAGCTTGTTAGTGTCATATTTTTACCTCTGTTTGACATTATTTCTTAAAAAAAAAAAACCACTTTATATTGTCACATTTCTTTGTGTTTCCCCAGTAATTCTGCGTACAGCAATTATTTTGCTAATCCCGTTATACTGTAAGGAGTTCTGCCATCAGAAAGTAAGCTATTGAGGATAAAATCAGAAGCTTTATACTCTCATACCGTTTGACGTAGAGTAAGTGCTTACTAACTTTGGATGAAATGAATATATGCATAATGGAAATAGCAGATGATGTGTTCCCCTGGAGATGATGATTCCTTTGTGCCCTAGATTTCAACACTTTTATAAAGAGCAGGAAAAGAAGAAAAAAAGGAAAGAGATAAGCATTGTAGGAATTCTACCAGAACACACCCCCCCCCTTGTCCCCTGTGGTGCTGCCCTTCCCAAGGCTGCTTAGAGTGACTGGTGTACTGCAGTTGGGTGACTGACAGGAGAACTCGGGATTTTAGAGAGCCCAGTACTACTCTGGATTCCAGAAAGCTGAAACTATTTGGGAAGCAGTTGTCCTCAATGCTTAACCAACCAGCCAAGACTGCGTGGACGTGTCTGCAAGGCTCCAGTGTCCCCCACTCTGCTGCCACACAGCTCCAAACTACTCTTCTGGCTGCATCTCCCTTCCTACGTCAGTAGGTTTCTGGTGTTTCTCAGTGTCTTCCTCCTCCCTGCTTACCACATGCTTGCTCAGCTCTCACACACCTTTCTCTTTGCTTCTGCTGTTTCCTCTTCCTGGAATGCCGTTCTCATTCATTTACTTGTGTTAGAAAAACAATTCCATTCTTTTGCTTTGCCCCACTCCTTTAGAAACATGTCTGAGGGCTTACTTTGTGCAAGGCAAGCAATTTAGTGGAAGAACTAAGACACACAGGCCCATTAGAAGCTCCAAAATTCATGGGCTTCTTTAGGAGTTAAACTACTGGGGATCAAGTTCTGGTCCAGTTTTGTATTGCCAGTGGGAGTTTTGTTATGTTTTTAATTTACTTTATGTTTTTTCAAAGCTTAAATATTCAAATAGGGGGACTAGTTAGAAAACACATGAAGCAATTCCCCAAGCATTGTTCTTGCCCTCCATTCTTCTAAAATACCATGAGTTTATGTTGGTTATGTTAGTATTAATTTTTACATTATCCTGTGAAAAAACTCAATTCCTGGTGTATTATTATTACTATGACTTTTCCATTCAGCTCTGTTTTCACTGAAATTAATGTCTTTTTCTCTTTCGCTTTGTCCCAGTTTATGGCCTTTTTTGACAAATTTTCCCTAAAATTGTAGAACACATTTTTTGAATATTTTTAAATGTACTTAGTACATTTTTTTTTAATCATCTTAAAATTTTCTCTTCCAGTCTCCTGGGCTGATGGCTGTCTAGGCTAATTTACAGTCTTTTCTTGGATTTCCTAGCCATTCCCTTTGTTTTCTTCTCTTTTTCATTAAATCCTCTAACTCCTCCTTTTGCTTGACTTCCTTGTTTTAGTAGAGCTGATCTTCCAGTAGCTTCCTGGTGAAATTTTCCAATAGGTAGATTTTTTATTTTTTTTTTTTTAAGATTTATTTATTTATTTGAAAGGCAGAGCCACAGAGAGGCAGAGAGAGAGAGAGAGATCTCCCATCCACTGGTACACTCCCCAGATGGCCACAATTGCTGGAGCTGGGCCGATCTGAAGCCATCCCACAAGGGTGCAGGGGCCCAAGGACTTGGGCCATCTTCTACTGCTTTCCCAGGCCATAGCAGAGAGCTGGATCAGAAGTAGAGAAGCCAGCACTCCAACCGGCACCCATATGGGATCCTGGCACTGCAGGTGGCTTTACCTGCTATGCCAGTGCAGGCCCTAAGTAAGATCTTTTAAGTCTGAAAATGTCTTTAGTATATGCTCAAATGTGTGACAATTTGAGAACAAATTTCTAGATTGGAAATCACTTCATTCAGATTTTATTTACCAGACTTTTAAATTTCTTTAAAATTATTTATTTATTTATTTATTCATATTTTTAAGAAGATACATTTATTTTATTTGAAAGGCAGAGTTACAGAGAGAGAGGGAGAGACAGAGATCTTTCATCCGCCGGTTCACTCCCCAAATGGCCTCAACAGCCAGGGCTGGGCCAGTCTGAAGCCAGGAGCCAGGAGCTTCTTGTGGATCTCCCATGTGGATACAGGGTCCCAACCCCTTGGGCTGTCTTCCACTGCTATCCCAGGAGCATTAGCAGGGAACTGGATTGGAAGTGGAACAGCCAGGAGTCAACTGTTATATGGGTGCTGGCATTGCAAGTGGTGGCTTAACCTGCTATACCATAGTGCTGGCCCCATGTTCATATTTATTTGAGAATCAGAGAGACTTAGAGAGGTCTCCTGTCTACTGGTTTACTTCCCAAACACCCACAACACCCCTGGCTAGACCAAGCCAAAGCCAGGATAGCCCAGGTCTCCATGTGGTGGCAGATATGCAACAACTTGAGTCATCACCTGCTGCTTCCCAAAGTGTGTGTTAGCAGGAAGCTGGAATCTGGAGTGGAACCTGGACTTGGACCCAGGCACTCTCATATGAGATGCAGGCATTTCAAGTGGCATCTTAACTGCTGCACCAAATGCCTGCCCTAGAATTTTTAATTTCTAAATTTATTTTGTTTTTCTTTTAATTTTGATGAAGTCTAGTTTATCAGTTTTTCTTTTTATAGATTATGCTTTTTAAGTCTAAGAGATCTTTGCCTAGATCTTGATTCTGCAGATTTTTTCTAAAATTTTTATAATTTCACATTTTACATCTAAATCCATGATCCATTGTGAGTTAGGTTTTGTATGGGGTGTGATACTTTGGTGGAGGTTGTCTAGTTCCTGTAGTGCCATTTGTTGAGAAGCTTCCCTCTCCTCCTCTGAATATTTTTCTTCAAAATCAGTTGGGCTGAGTTGTAAACGTTCATTCCCAGACCCTTCTGTATTCTCCACCGTTCCATTAGTCTGTGTGTCTGTTCCTGTGTCAGTACCACACAGCCTTGATTACTTTAGCTGTAATAAATTCTCAAACTCGTACTGATTTCTCTTACTCCTTTTTTCTCCAGAATTGTTCAAACTTTTCTAGTTACTTTTTGCCTTATTTGTAAGTTTTAGAATATTCTTAAAAGTCTTGCTGGAATTTTGCTAGGATTTCATTAAACTTGTGTATTACTTTGGGGAGAATTCACATCTTTTATGTTTTTAGCATTGTATTTAGATACTTTTAATGATTATAAATGAAACTGTATTTTAAAATTTGGATGTCCATGTATTTAGTGCTAGTATGTAGAAAAATAATTGATTCTTGCTTTTTTTATCTTGGATCCTGTCACCTTGCTGAACATGAACTTATATGCTGGTTTTGGGAATAATTTTTGTGTATTTCTTATGAGTTTCAATGTAGGTTATCATATCGTCTTCATAAAGAGACAGTTTTTGTTTTTTCTTTCTGATCTGTGTCCCTTTTATTTCTTTTTCTAGCCTTATTTCACTGGCTAGAACTTGGGTCCTATGTTGTGTAAGAATGGTGAGTGGACATCCTTGCCTTATTCCCAGTTGTTTGAGGAAAGCATTCAGTCTTTCATTATTAGGTGTAAAGTTAGCTGTAATTTTTGTACATTTCTTAAAAATGAATTTGAGGATATTTCCTCTCTGTTCCTGTTTTTCTATGCGTTTTAGTCATCAG